CCTTTTATTTGTGATTTATGCTTCCAAATGTTCAGTCTCAAACCACACACTCTCCCCACTCACTGAGGTGACATTTTGTATGTTCTCATACTTTGACAAGCATCAATATGCAGTGTTATTCTTTTTTGTGGCACCTAAAAGTTATAGTTAAAGTCTAAATTAAAAGAGAAAAACTAATCCATGAATATATTGGGTTATTTCTGTCAAAATGAGCTTACAGCTTCAGAGGTATGACAATGATTATAACTCTTAAATGGTGTCTTAGTAACTGTTGGGTTTCTGGTTTCTGTGTTGTTATTCTGCCTTTTTCTTTTTAATACCAGAAAGTTTTGCTTTGCAAAAACTGAATTTGCTTCTTGGCATAGTGAGGCTAAGATCAAGAATAACTTTGGCCCTGTAGTGTCCCGCTACAGACTTTCTAGAATACTTTTATTATGTTCTAATTTCATTTACTTTGCTTCTTTTCACAGGTTTCCCAGCATCAGTGTAGAATGACAACCTGCCCCTGTATCTGGCTTCTCAGACCCAACATTTCCTGTCTCCCTGTTCACTGTTTTAGTCCAGTGAGACATTCCTTGCTACTAACCATTACTCCTGATAAAGATGCTTTTCCTCTGAACTTAAAAGTGAAGGGAAATTTTTTATACAATCTATTTTTAACTTTATTGTCTTTGTTGATTTTATTTAGAATGTGCTTCAATTAATAATTCAATTGCTTTTTTTTTTAACCATGCATCTCATTTTTAATTGATTTTACTTCAGTTTTGGGCACTCTCCTCTTCCCTCTCTAAATTTAGTGTCTGGTCCAAGTGGTAATTGTTTGGTTTTTTTTATTATTATTATTTCCTTCTTTGATCCTTTCATTCAATGCTGATAATTCCTCCCCTTATCTTCATTAAGCTGTACCTAGTTCTAGATTTTACTTTTGTCTCCTCTGAATGTTATCTACATATTCATTCTGTTATTTATTATATTCATGTGTGTATGCGCTTGCTTTTATTACATACATATATTTAAAGTCTAGTACAGGGATAAGGTTAAGTAATAGGGTTCTTTTGAGGCACAGAGGTAGGGCTAAAGAATTAGGGATAGATTCAGAGTTAGAATAGGGCCAGTGATGGGGACAGTATGTCTTTTTTAGGGTGAGGGCAAAGGTCAGTATAAGGGACAGTTTAGAGATTTTATGTTTTAGTAATAGGGTTAGTAAAAAGGAATGATTTAGGGTTAAGTACATAGATAGGCAGCTAAGTGGTGCAGTGGATACAGCACTGGCCCTAGGGTCAGGAGGACCTGAATTCAAATTCAGACACTCAACCAGCTATGTAACCCTGGGCATGTCACTTAACCTTGTTTGCTTCAGTTCCTCATCTGTAAAATGAGGTAGAGAAGGAAATGGCAAACCACTCTAGTATCTTGGCCAAGAAAAGCTAAAATAAAGTCATGGAGAGTTGGACATGACTGACATGACAACCCAACATAGATAGGTTTAGTTAAGTATGAGTATAAGCAATAGGATTAATATTAGAGTGACAGTTTTAATAATCTATATTAAATATTAATCCAAAATTGGTTTCTGACTAATGGCATCAGACAAGGAGACTAATCTGGAAAACTCTATAGTTGGCTATGGATTTTAAGTGTCAGGTATGTGATCCTCTCCCTAAGTTTTATAAGAGGCAAGGAGATTCAAGGAAGCATGTCAGAAACCCACTGGCACAGCAACATTCTGCGTTATCAAACAGAAGCATCAGCAAGGGAATGAGCCACACCCAAACCTAAAACTAACAACAAAGTTGGTAATTACCACAACATGGCACCTACTGAGGGGCTTTCCCTAATAAAGAATTTTCACATGCTACCACTTTTGCTAACAGAGCAAGCTCCATTCTCGTCCATGCCCCTTCAACAGAAGCCCCAGACGATCATGGAGGATCAGCACCCACCGGATCACTAAAGCCCACTGAGAGGGCAAAAAGCAATAGAAGCACACTGCTCTGTAATGACCCAGGCCAACAGAGAACTGAGACGAACCGCAACAGCAAGGAATCTGGAACAAGAGAGGTTTCTCAGGAAGAGAACCTAACAAAACTAGTGGCATTTCTATTCATTTGAATAATCCTCAGACATTTTAAACTGAGTTAGAATCACCACAAAGAAGCCAATGACAGTATCTTTAAACAGCAGAGGACTCACCCAATAATCTTAGCAATCCATGGTTATCCAATTTTCAAAGAAAATGGATTGTGAATTTTAAGAACTGTAGAAATGGACCAAACTTTCAGATAAGAATATCATATTTTATTAAGAAAGCACAAGAGAACTTTAAATGTAATGATACTTGAGAGAATTTTAAGCCTAAAACATGAAAACCTACAGAGCAAGCAGACTGACTACAGAGACTGTATAGGGACTAATCACCCTGGTACTTTCTGAGAAATAACTAATGAGGCCTCATCACTGGGTCACATCCCCACATCTTACAGCTTGGTGGCTGAATAGATGGAGTACTGGGCTTGGATGTAGGAAGACGTGAGTTTAAATACCACCTCAGATACTTACTAGCTGTGTAACCCTGACCAAGTCCCTTAACCTCGGTCTCAGTTTCCCCATCTGCAAAATGGTGATAAAAACAGCACCTCCCTCAGAGGGTTGTCATGAGGATCAAATGAGATAACATGTACCGTGCTTTGCAAATGTTAAGGTGCTATATCAATGCTAGATATTATTATTGTTATTATTATTTTACAGAAATATTTGGCCCTCGTGACACTTTTTTCACAGTTTTACATCTGCTGATGCCAAACTACAACCCTCCAGCTGATGTAGGAAGTCCATTCTGGAATCCATTTATCTATAGTGTGGGTCCGTCTGAGGCACTACAATAACACATATCTTGGACCAGAGGGAACTAGGTACTAGATAAAGAAAAAGATTGATCCAGGGGGATATAGTCTAACAATGATTTTTCACGTTTCACATACATATGACTATGTCATGAAGAAACTCTCTAATAAAGGTGATAAGAATGTACTCATGCCAATGAAAGCTGCTGGCACATCATTTTCTGCTGCAGTCCATCTCAGATGATGTCAAATACACAAAGAGAATGTGTGCAATGGTCTGGGCACCGTATGTTCTAGCTGGCACTGATGCTGGCCAGCTTGCACAATGAGGCCATTAATATAACACCAAGACTCCCTCTCTCCACTGGGGTGGTAAAGATTTTTCTATCTGTTCCAAGGACGACTTTTCTCTGAGCATTAGCAGTGAGGCAGGGCTCAGGCAGGTCATCCCCTCAGCCCCAGAGTTTTTAACTTAAACTCTGGGGCTGATAACCCATGCCCTGATGATGACGACAAAGCTAGACTATGAGCTGTATAAGAGGAGAATTAATGCCCATACAAGGACAATCTAGCCATGGCAACTTACACCTTGGGTTTCCACACAGACAAGGCTACATTTTAACTTGATGGCTGCTGTCATTTGCTGTGATATGCTGTCACATATTGACAGCAAAAAAAGAGGGTGCTCCCCATCCACCTTATAGGTTCAAAACCAAAGGATTCCTGTGATGTTAGAGGAGAATACATACGCTGCCCTACATCTTCTGCCACTGCTACATTCACTTGAGTGAGATCATCACCTTATGGAACAATGACCAGTGAAATCCATCGGAGCACCACAAACCACTGAGGTCTGGTTAGACTGACTGTTCCAGGGTGGAAGGAGGCATTTCAATCACACCTAGTAATTCTCATTCAAAGAACCAAGCTGCTTTTGTCACTGACGCTATTGTGCCTTTGAGAACAGATCCTCACCTTTCTGATCAACCAGAGCTTACAAAAATGAAAAATATGAAATAGTGTGCTAGCATCTGACCCAGGAAGGTTAGAGAGTGTGTCATAACGTACTGACTGGCGCAGAGGGTGCTGCTCTGAAAGGCTGGGATCCAGACAATGACTGCACTAACTGAACTGAAAATGCATCAGAGGCATATCTTAAGAAGAAATTAATAGTGTGAGACTCAATGAGGTAGAATACATACATACATATATACATACATATATATACACATATATATGTGTGTGTGTGTGTACATATGTATACATGCATGTATATATATGTACATATATAGTGAGCATATTACTGGTGTGAGACAGTACACAGACAGAATATAAAAGCTTCTCTTATTTTAGCAGGGCATAATTTTTTTAACTTGATAAAAGAGCAATGGTTTTCTTAATATAGGCTTACTATAAATATTATCTTTTAGATGACATTCTTATGCAGAGACAAATATTGATTATATATACATATATGCATATGGACTTAAAATTTAAGTTACCTACCATGTTTTATTGTTACTACTTATTTATTCAATAAGAAAGTTCTGAGGTAAATCATGAAGGGGTAAATTTTTTTTTTTAATTTTAAAGCTCTGTATTTTTTAAAACATTAATTGAATAAGGGAAAACTATCTGTTCTGCTCCCTTCAGAAGAGGAGTGGTGGGGGCTAAGGGAAGGGTGAAGCCTGAGAATGACTGTGTATCGTGGGTTTGGGGACAAGCAGGCTGAGTCAGCTCAGGCTCCTTTTGTCCTTAAATCAGCCCCAACCACTGAAAGCAATTGATCTGCATGATTTCCATTACGCTTCTAATCACAACTGAGCCCTGCACATGCTGACACGTATGTCTTCCCAAGAAAGCCAGTTCTCATCACGTACTCCAAAAAAGAGCAAAAGTAAGTGGCTGCCCTTTATCCACCTTAAAGGGTCCATTTGTGCTCAGCCTAGTGTGTCTAGCTACAAGCCACAGGGATGAAATCATATTTTCCCCAGTACCTAAATGACTGGCAAATAAAACAGGAAAAAAGGAACCGTCATTATTCCGTTCATTGAAAATCAGTGACAATACCAAGAGAAGCCAACCTCCCCCTGCCGCATCAGCAGCTCCACGGAGCTCGTCCTTACAAGTCTGACCGGGCTGCTTCCTCATGCTTACTTTAATTTCAACTTGCTCCTCCATTTCTTTAGTTTTTATTGTTGTGTATTCCTTTTCTAACCTAAGAGAAAAATAAAAGTTCTGATGTAAGTTTTCTTAAAGTGATCAAAATAACCCAAATTTTAAAAAACTACAGAAAAGCATAAACTTTGACGAGGTTCACTGGTTATAAAAGCATCATTTTAAAAATCACAGAAGTACAGAAAGGAGAGGGACATTAAATCTTGTACGTCTCATCACAATTTATAAAATAAGCTGAGTTCTTAAATGTCCATAAAATTCTGGGGTGCAACTGCAAAACTTAAATTATGAGCTTTAATTCAACTAAACAATTCCTTGTAGCCTTCTACTAATTGCAGAGTCTCACTCACATCAGCAGATGACCCTAAGCTGGATAACATTAGCATAATCTTGACAGACAAACTTAGAATTAAAAGTGATCTTGATTAATTAGAGAAGTATTATGAAAAATACAAAATGGAGTATAAGACAAGGCCAAAAAGCTACATAAAGGGTAAAAAATAATCATGTCAAAGTACAGCAGAAAGAAGTCTGCCTTGAAGACGTGACAGCCTAACTGTGGAGGAGAACAGACTACAGATAATGTTTTCTCTCTTTCAAGCTCCTTTAACACTTTGTCTTGACCACTTTTGGGAACTTAACTACATTAGGACATATCACGGTCTATGAGAAACATGTGAACCTTCTCTCAATTAGATGGTAAGGTCCTAAAAAATATTATGGTCTCTGTATAGCACCTGGTGGTACTATGCATATAATATATTCTCAATATTTAGGGAATGAAAATCATGAAGGATAATACCTAAAAGCATATAACTTAGAACTGACCATCATAGTAAGACTCATTATTATGTAAATATGAAAATTCAAACTTACCTACATAGCAAAAATTTCACATAATAGTCTATAATATCAAATGTTGGTCCTGTTTTCCGATACTAGCATTAAAAGGATTATACCCCATAGATATTACTTACTCAAAATATAGAATAAAATTACTCCTTAGCAGTTAGTTATCAGCAAATTCTATAAATCAATCAATACCTATTATGCAACAGAACTACATTCCTACTAGTATAATTTCAGGTAAAGGAAGGAGAGGAAAAAATTCAGTGGAGACAAAAGCACCAACACAGTAATGACTACGGGATTGGCTCAGAGACTACGGCAGATGCTACTTGCTGGTTATTAGCTGTGTGGCAATTATAAGCTGATCTACCTCCCGGAGAAGAGGCTGAAGGGATTTTTTCAGGTTGCTGGGAACAGTGAAACATTCCCAAAAGATACAGAAGACAGGTTTCAATAAGAACAAAAGAAGGATCGGAGGAAAAGCAGGGGAGACTTGCCCCTTGTTAAGGGGCTGGAGAGTAGAAAAGTTGTATGGTGGAAAAACTGAAGGAAAAAGAAAGCTGCACAACTTCCTTTTTTTTTTTTAAACAGGATTTCTAAACTAGTAGATGAAGAGAATGCTGTAGATACAATTTACCTAGATTTTAACAAAGTTTTTGACAGCTTTTTGAAAGGTTTTGTCAGACTGCTCTCATATAGAAGATAGAAATATTTACAAAAGACAATAATATAATCAGATGGTTTCAAAACAGGTTCGATGGCTAAACTCAAAGAACAGTTATCAAAAACTCAGTGTTGGAGGGCTTTACTGCTCTCGGGGATTTGAGCTTGGCCCCTATTTCCCACCGAGCAGCATGCCAGTGGATTTCTCCATCATGCCCCAGAAACCTCTTCATCCTAGATCTCTTCAGCCCTGGAATCACAACTCAGAAATATTCTCTGTCCTGGGGCTCCTGTGTCTGATTGGAGGTGTTCCCAGAACCTCCACTGAAGGAGGGGGCCCAGAGCAGCCATCTCCTCCTTTCCCACCAGGAAACAGTTTTCTGTTTGTTTGTTTGTCTTTGTATTCCCATCCCTTAGCACACAGCACACGATCAATCTATCAATTAAAATAAATTCTTATTAAGTGCCTACTATGTGCAAAGCACTGAAGATACAGGGGTGCAAACAAGCAAACAAATACTTACAAACAGGTGAGAAGTAATGTGTAAGAAGACTAGAAAAGTAGGAGGGGATTAGGATGTGACTAGGATTTGAACACCAGAGTATTTTGTATTTGATCTTGGAGGTGACAGGGAGCTACTACAGTTTATTGTAGGTGGGGGGTGGGGTGGGGGTGGGGGTAATATTTTCAGACCAGAGCTTTAAGAAAATCATTTCGATGGCTGAGAGAAAGATGTTTAGAAGAAGAGAGAGGCATGAGACAGGTAGATCCACCAGCAGTTATTGCAATAACCCAGGTGTGAGACGATGAGGGCCCGGGGGCAGTGTCAGAGAAAAGAAGGGTGCATATTCAAGAAATGCTACGAAGATAACCTCAACAGGCCTTGGCAACAGGTTGGACTGAGGTGGGGGGGAGGGTGAAAGACAGTGAGGCAACCAGGATGACTTCTAGGCTGAGAATCTGAGGGACTGGGAGGATAATGATACCCTATACAACAATAGGAAGGTAGGAGGCTGGGGGAGAAGAGTTAGGGAGAAAGATAGTAACTTCTGTTTTGGACATATCGAGTTTAAGATGCCTACTGGATATCCAGTGTGAGATGTCTGAAAGGTAGCTGGAGATGCAAGCCTGGAGGTCAGCAGAGAGATTAGAACAGGAAAGGTAAACTTGAGATGGTAACCAAACCCACAGGAGCTGAGCTGTTGAAATGACCAGGTTAAAGAGTATAAAGAGAGAGGAAGGGACAGGACACCTACAGACAAAGGGCATGATTTGAAGGAGGATCCAACAAAGCAGATAGGTAGGAGGAGAACCAGAAGGGAGTTATGTCTTGAAATTCTAAAGAGGGGAGAGCAATCTACAATGTCAAAGGCTGAAGGGAGGTCAAGGAGAATGAGGACTGAGAAAAGACCACGGGATTCTACAATTAAGAGAGAGATCACTGGCAACTTTGGAGATAATTAGCCTGAAGAGAAAACACAGGGAAAGCGTGATAATTGTCTTCAAGTGTTTGAAAGCTGTCAAGTGTAATATAAATTATACTAGCTCTCCTTCAGTACCAAAAGTAGAACTGGGAGCAATGGGTGCAAGCTGCAAAGAGAAGAAACACTTCCCCAGCGACAAGAGCTGTCCAAGAGTAAATGGACATCTTCAGCAGGTGGGAGGTTTCCCTTCGCTGGCCATCTTTCAACAAAGGATGGACAACGACTTGCTGGGTATTTTAAAGAGGAGATTCTTGTTCAGGGATGGGTTAGCCTAGAAGACCTTTGAGGTTCCTTCCAATTCAAAGGTTCTGTAACTCCCAAACCTTTTATGTAAACTTTGGCCAGGTTAATAGAAAAAAAAATGTCCAAAACAAGGTAGGTAACAGTTTAGCTGTGCCCTTCACTGGTCACTCCACAAGCAAGGAGCACATTTTAAGAGAGATTTGATACCCTGGAATAGCGTCCACAGGAGGGGTGACCAGAAAGGTGAAGGCATCATCTCAAGAGAAGTCACTGTGGCACATGACGTCTGTTTTCAAGTATCTGAAGAGTGATTATCTATTTATTTGTTTGTTCGTTGTTCTCGGAAGGACAGAACTAGGACCAAGAGGCAGAAGTTTTAGGTAGGCAGATTCTGGCTCGGTATCAGGGAAAACTTCCTAATAATTAAACCTTATCAAAATGGAATGGGCTACCTTAAAAGGTGGTTTACCTCCTATCACTGGAGAGAATCTGGGGCAAGCTGGATGCCTGTATCTATATGAAGGATATTCCAGAGGGAATACAGGATGGAGTAAGCAGTCTCTCAGATTTCTTCTTATTCTAAGACCCTAATATTCTACAGATATTTTGTCAAAGGGTTTTCATACTAACTGTGTGACTCTGGGCAAGTCACTTAATCCCAATCGCCTCAGCAAAAAAGTAAAAACAAAGCGTTTTCATATATGTTAACTTAATTAATTACTTTCTTTTATTTCTCTACATTCAGAATCACACAATTGCTTTACAAAGCATAAATGTGTAGAGAAGAAATTCCCTTTTTAATAAAGACTGAAAATTAAGATTTAATAAATCTGTCCCCTCAAGGTCTGTATTCATGTTTCTGGTACAAATTTAAATAGTCTTGCTTAGAAAGTCAAGGAAATAAGACTAGATTTTCCTTTTAAGATAAGGGCTTGCACATAATTCATCACAATATAAATGCCAGCTAAAAAAACTGTATCATCTTTAAGCAAAAATTTGTAATTAACTTATTGTTGTTGTTCTTGAACTGAAGAGATTATTTAAGGAAAACAAAAACAAAGTCTATTCAGGCAGAAGGTGAAAAACCCTGACTCCAGTCTAACTCTAGGACTGATTCTAGTCAGTCAGCGAGCAAATATATTAAGAGCCTAATGCTGAGTGCTGCGGATATTAAAAAAAAAAAAAGGTAAAAGATAGTCCCTGCTCGCAAGAAACTCACGGTCTCATGGCGGACACAGCACACAAACAAGCTATACACAGAACAAACTGGAGATAATCAAGAGAAGAAAGGCACCCTGAAATATCAATACTAAATACTAAATTCATAAATCAACTTTACAAAAGATAATAATATCGTCTAATGAAATTGAGAAAAGTAAAATAGAAACATAAACATAATGTTTAAAGTGTCCCAAACTTTTATCACTTAAAAAAAAAGAGAGATGCATGCAATACCTACTTTTTCATCTTTTTTGTATTGTATTTGACTTGGTAAGATGCTTGAATTAATTTGTCTGGACCACTGTCAAACTGATGCGGAATGACCTTTTGAAAATGCTAAGAGGCAATAAGAATAAATTATAAGAACTAATTAGTACTGGTTATTGTTAATTGATGCTGCCAAATCTGAAGACATTAGAACTGGAAATTGGCCCACGGATTCACCTGTAACATTCCTTCCATGTCAAGTTGCATGAGTTCTGCTTGATTCATCTGAAGAACTGCTAGGCCAACCCGAAACACTATCTCTAAACCCTAAAAGAGAAAACTGATGTAATTCTAAATTGTCACACATTCTTCATTAACAAAAGCAAGTATGACTTAAAAAATAGGGTTAAAATTTATTAGACTACATGGGAGTACCTCTCCCGTTAGTGTAATAAATCAAGTTATCTGATTTTGCTCTGCTTATATCTCAAGAATTTTGGGGGAAGAAATTTAAAAATCAACCTTTATGTTTACATATCTTTAGTTTTTAATAAAAGCTTTCCTAGGAAAGGTTAAAATGAAATGGAATAGCCTATTTCCTCCTGATCCTTGCTACTGCTACATGGACTGTGATAGAGCTACTGAGGTTTTACAGGAAGTGCACTCTTCCTTTCCCCTGATGCTGAAAAAATATGAAATATAAAGCCTTTATTAGAGAACTCAAAGTAGACAGCCTTTCTAGCAGATATTGTAGTGCTTTTCTTCCTTCTAAGCCTATCTTCCTTCTATGATACTCCTTGCATTTTACAGTCTAACCACTCTTTTAGATAAGCTCTCGAAGATTTCTTGCTTCAGTTAATTTCCAAACATTCTAAAGTAGGGCCAGTCCTACAATCAGTAAAATCTGATTCAAGCATTAAGCATGCTTACTGCTTAACTTTAAACAGTCATCTACTGTTGAACTTCAAACTACAGTTGATTAGGCAGTAAAAGTCAATGTTCCCCAATAGCTGAATGGTCAAAGCATGAGAACAAATAGCTCCCCAAAGAAGAATTGCAAAGTACTCACAACCACATGAAAAAATGTACCAGATCACTAACAATCATAAATGCAAATTAAATAACTGAGAAATTTTACTCACACCCTACACACTAGCAAAGATGACAAAGGATAAGAATAGTCAATGTCGGCAGCGTTAGGGGATGACAATTTTGAATTATCCAAATAAAGGGACTACAATGTCCTTTCACCTGCAAATTCTATTATTCTGTTCTACTCCAAGGAGGCCACATACATGAAAATATTTATAGCAGCACTTTTTGTGAAAGCTAAGAATTGGAAACAAAGAAGATGGCCATTGACTGGGAAAGCTTAACAAACTGCTGTACATAAATATAATGGAATATTATTGAGCTGTAAGAAATGATGTGTGTGATAAAAAGAGAGAAGCCTGGAAAGATCCATATGAACTGATGCAAAGTGAAGAAAGCAGAGCCAAGAAAACAATACACAGTAATCACAACAACGTATACAAAAAGAACCACACACAAAAAAGAATCAAAAGTAAATGTTCCAAATGAAAAACAAGAAGTATAGCTTGAAAGAAGAGAGATGACAAGACAACTCCAAAATAATTACAATGGAAATTGCTATCCACATCCAGAGAAAGAACTATGGAGTCTGAATGCAGATGGAAACATACTATTTGCTCTTTTTTCCCCTTCTGTTTTGTTTTGTTTCTTCTTTCTTATGGTTCCTCCCATTAGTTGTAATTCTTCTTTACATCATGACTAATGTGAAAATATGCTTAATATGAATGTATAAGTAGAACCTATATTAGATCTCATACCGTCTTGGGATGGGAGGCAGAAAGGAAGGGGGAGAAAATGTAAAACTCAAAACCTTATGGAAGTGAATGCTGAAAACTAAAAATAAATAAATAAATTAAAAGTTTTAAAAATAACAAAAAAAGAAAGGAGATAAGATACTTCCACACCTTTGCAGAGGTGGAAGGTCCCCAAGTATAGAGCATATACTCTCAAGTCTTTTTTGATATTCTAATCAGTTATGCTGATTTTTTTCTTTTTTTCTTTTGGAGGGGGACATTTTCTTTTTTTTTTGAAGGGGCCTTTTAAGAAATACTACTTTTTATATAAGATGGCTCTCTGGGAGGAAGAGGAGGAAGAGGAGAATGCAAACCATAGTGATGTTAAAAAAATCAATCAAAAGTTATTTTTTAAAAAAAGCAAATATCATTAAATATCATTCTTCTCATAATCTAATACTAACACAGAGAGGCAACAGTCAAAATAAGTATCATCTCTTGGTAGCACAGAAATGACTAAAGTACTCCTAGCTGCTAGTGACATTTATCTCAACACCATCAAACAGGCGCAATCACAGGTGATAAAAACAAGCATCATTATGAACTTTTTTTAGGCAGAATGGGACTGGGAGTTAGGACTGGGATCCCAATGTGAAATACTAACTCTTTCTTTATGCCAAATTATTCACTTTACAAAAGACTTCAAGGATTTACATACTTTGCTTGAATATACTTATGTACGTAGGGTGAAAAAACCTTCCAGGCAATGAGAAGCAAGTAGGAGTTTACACTGTGGACTTCCTAAGTACAAATGATTACGCAAATAGTGAATTTCCCTGCAAAGCCGGTCTAACAAAGTAAGAACTAACAATTGATAATATGGTGCCCTAATGTGTTGTTGTAGCCTAGAAAGTTCCTACAAAAAATTGGCAAGTCCATAAAAATAATGAGTAGGCCAGGTGCGTTATGTCCCAGAAACCTCTTCATCCTGGAAATCACGCAAACCCTGAACTGACACTGCCATCATACACTGCACACTTCTTACCTCCCTAGTCCCCCAGATATCAGCTTCCTCTTATGTGCTGTGTTTCACACCACTAAAATGTGAGCAACCTGAGGACAGGGATCCTCTTCTTTCTGCTCGTATGTTTAATAAATGCTTGTTGACTGACCATAGTTCTCCTTAGATGCATTAATGTGATGTGGTGTTGACCCTGAGCTCTCGAATGCGTTGCCAGCAAAGCACAGACTCTGTCAGGTACCAGCTACCAAGCATCTAGTTGGTGGAGAACCAGCCTACCTAGGTTTAGAGAGACTTAGGAGCAGAAGGTCTGGATGTTAGGTGATGGATGTTTTGGCCACAATAACTGAGGAATACCATTTTCTAAGGTTATGAAAGGCTGTGATTTAGAGATGGACCCAGAATAATAAAGTCATAAATCCTTAAAGTATTGAAGAGTACCTTGTCATTCAACAAGCCATTTACACAAAGAGCTATTTAAAAGACTGAGTTAGAGTAATCCACGGAGAAATATTTAAATTTAAATACTAGTGGAATATGAAGGATTTCCAATTGCTTACCTCAGACATAAATATGTCAAATATCCTTGTTGCCACCGGTAGGGGAAAAGTTGTAAGAAAGATGGTCAGAAACCAGGATGATGCATACATAGATGTATGGAAACTCTGAGACTGAAAATGTACAAAGAGTTCTGGTAGATGCTCCTTCGAAGAAAGACAAAATATAAGAAAGTAAGTCTCTAAAAATGTGTCATTGTAAACCAATGAAAGTTATAAGCAAAGAGTCTACGGCCAAACAAAACTGGAAAAATGTCAGATTAGATTTTCCCAGGTACAATTGCTATATCCCATTATCTAATTCTTCCATTCACAACCAACCCAAAATGCTAATACTCTAGCAATGCACTATGTAATTGAATACTGAAATTATACATAATCTGTAAAAGTCTAACATCAATACAGTGCACGACTGACAAACAAAAATCAACATCCGTGAAAAAAAGAATGCTGTAATCACTGATATGGGTATGGATCATGTACAGGGAGCAAGGGTTTCCCTCTAAAACACATATAACATTGGCAGCCATTTTCCACAAGATATTAACCTCCTTTTGCCTACACGTTATAGGCTTCCCCAGGACAGGATGGAAGAGTTTACAATTCTGGTTTCCTAAGCATGCCAAGGAAAAGCCCCTACGGTAAGTAGCTCTAGGAAGATGATTTTACAACTCTTATACCTTCCTTAGTATTTCGCATCAAGTTCTATTTTTGTCACCGAATACTTTAATGGCATATTAATACTGTTACATACGCAAAGTCACAGGCTCAAAATATTAGTGGAACAAAGAATGACACAATCTTATTTCATATATATGCTAAAAATAAGAAATGTAAGTAATATGTAAATTGTTGATATAAAGTATCTGTTCTCAATTTGAGTTTTTGCAAGTCACTAAAAATCTCTTTCACTTAAGTTCATCAATTCCTTTACGTATTAGTCTTATCATTAGATGGTGCCAACATTATATCAGGGCCATCCTTCAATTTAAAAATGCAATGATCGACTTTGAAAGACTTCACCCTTCTCCTAAATGCAATGATCTAAGACAATTCTAAAAGACTCATGATTGGAAAATGCTATCCACATCCAGAGAAGGAACTATGGAGTCTGAATGCAGATCAAATCATACTATTCTCTCTCTTTTTTTCTTTTTCATGGTTTTTCCCTTCTGTTCTGATTCTTTTTTCACAACATGACTAATGCGGAAATGTGTTTAATATGATTGTACATGTATAGCTTACATCAGATTGCATGCTGTCTTGGGGAGGGGGGTGGAAGAAAAATGTGGAACTCAAAATCTTATAAAAGTGAATGTTGAAAACTAAAAATAAATAAATAAACCAAACACACAAATAAATAAGTAAGAAAAATTCGTGCTGAAGAAATAAAATGTCCATTGGCATGATATTACAACCATCACTTTACTGTCGATATGTTAGTACCGTAAGGGCTCGCAGAGCCTGCAACAGAAAAGTAAAGGGAAATAAAGGCACAATCATGAGAACTGGGCTAACTGGCACAGCCTCCATGCTCCAGATGTGAGAGGCTCGCAGTTGCAATTAGTCAGTATCACTGATGCCCTCTAGCGACCCCTGACCTATTCCAAGCATTACCAACGGAGTTCTTCACAAACAAGGACCGCATTTCTATTTCTCTATGTTAATGTTACATAGTCAGCACAAAGAAAAGTGTCCCTAATAAGATGCCATTAGAATAAATGACTGCATCCTCTGCTTTAAAATACTTTACATATTAAGTTAATGTTTGCCTTTTTGGTAAGAAATTAGATTATATATATATATGTGTGTGTGTGTGTATATATATACATATATATAATGTTAACATTGAACTTTTTACCTGTATCATGCATTCAAACTGGTACATGCAAAGGCCCAATTCTGCCATACTTGGCTTAAAAAGTTCACGCAGTCTATAATCTTGCATTAATTTAACAAACACACAGAAAGCTTCTTCTTCGGGCATCTATGTTAGAAAAAAGACAATGTAAAGTACCTCTGATACTCCAGATGTGTGTGTGTGTGTGTGTGTGTGTGTGTGTGTGTGTGTGTGTGTGTGTGTGTGCTGGAACTATGCAAATTTACTAAGGCTACTGGTAATATATGACACTTGAAATGTTCCTTAAATGATGTAAAAATATTTTAAAAAATTAAATATTTCAGAAGAAATTACACGAGAATTGGAAACACACCAACAACAGCCTACATTAATAAAGTATTTTAATATTTACAAAATACTTTTCTCAGAGCATTCTGTGAATTAAGAAATGCAAATATCATTATCTTCATTTTGCAAACTTAATGAGGCTGCAGCTGCTACTACTACAATATTAGTTAATAGCTAAAATTTATATATCACTTTGTAAAGCACTTAGAAATATTATCTAATTTTATCCTATAAGAACCCTGGGGTAGGTGCTTTTATTAACCTCATTTTACAGATGAAGAAACTGAAGCAGACAGAGCTTAAGTGACTCATCCAGCTTCACACAGCTAATAAATGTCTGAGGCCAAATATAAACTAAGATCTTCCTGACACCAGGTCTAGGCTCTATCCTAGCTGCCTATAACTAGAAGATGAATATAATCAATTCAAAATAATTCTTCCCTACAGTTTAAATGAAATCTTATCGGCTCAGAATTTCATTCATGGTACACATGAACCAACTTACCTGCATGAGCAGCAGTCCAACTATAAAAGCACTCCCCTGACAATATCCAACCTCACGATCTACTAAAGAATACGCCTGGAAAATAAGCAGTTCAGAATACTTTAACACAAGGCTAGAGAAAATCTTTGCGTCTCTACAGGCCTAAAAAGAACAAAGCATTAAGGAAGCAAAATTTCTTGATCATTAAAAAGATCTTATCCTACCTATTTCAAGCTCAACCAAAGGCTTTTTAATATTTGACATTTCATTAGACAACTCCCAGTTGCAAGTTTTCTGCTAAGAGAGGAGAGAGTAGGTACAGCCTTGGACAATAAAACAAAGCTTAGAAGCAAAGTCTCATTTCTAACTGATAGAGACAGGAGTTAGTAAAGGACATAAGCGAAGAGCTGCCAAGGCTGAAGCTGTTTTAAAAGGATCCACATTTAGCAATGGTCTAACTGAGGTTTACTAACGGTGGAAGACATTCTGGACAGGGAAAGCATGAAGGAGAATGCCAGAGTAGCTGGTTCATAGCTGAGCCTAAATGAAGACTGAGCTGCTGACTGTTCTTGACAATGCTGGAGGAAGAAATCTGAATGATGGGAGACAGGCTAAGTCAACAGCTAGCCCAAGTTTTAGTTATTTGGAGGGGAGATATCAGCCTGTTCTGTAAAGAGTTATGTCTACGCAATGGGGATTTACAAACTGCTTAACTTTAGAGTTGGCCTACAGGGAAAATATCTGTCTTCTTATACCTACAGCTCCCTCACCCCCATCAAATTAAGTATGGAACATTTATTAGGTCATCATTGAACTTTAAGGCCAGACATTGAAACAAGAAGAAGAATGTGTAAGATTAAGAATCCATATTTAAAAATCCAAAACAAAAGGCAAGCAGAAAATCATGTTATAATAATAATAATTAATTGCCCAAAGCCCAGGTTTCTGTGAAGGGGCCTAGGTTCCATGGTATATATCTATATACTTGAGCTTTGTGAAAATATTTCATTTAAAAAATTAATAAAGCAACCTTACCTTCATTACATTAAATAAAACCTCCTGTCCAAGACTATCTTTTTCTTTAAAGAAGTCATGTTCAGGATATGTTCTAGCAATGTCCCTTCTGATAAGTTTTTCACAGGGTGAGGTCATTTTCAGTAGCTCAGAATACTGATCCTTAATTGGCATACTTTGAGCACTGCATAAAAGCTGCCAAACAATTGCTCTGAAATGATGAGGTATCCCTTTCCGAACAAGTTCCTAAAGCATAAAAAAAAAAAACATTCAAATTATCTACTTAGAAAACCAAAGTAGTTTGGCACTGAGAAAAAATTCAAACCTATAGTTTCCAAGCAATTGTAATCCTGCTATATGGGGACAGATATGGTCCACAGATTGCCACCAATCTAGTTAATGCTGCTACAAAGAATAAATTGACACTGTAGTAAGTTATTCTGGTGGTTTAATTCATTGTAATGGTTCTAAAAATTCCTTCTACAGGTAAGATTCTAAGAAATTCTTACATTCAAGTTCTAAGATAGAGGTTCTCAATCTTTCTTGTATCAGACCCCTCTGGTGACCTTCTAGTGGAGGCTCTGGACTCCTAATCAGAGTAATATTATTACATGGATAAAATAACATACTTAGGATCACAAAAGAAACCATTTTGAAATACAGTTATTAAATGTTTTAAAAACAAGTTCAGAGGCCCCAGGTTTAAGAACCTCTGTTCAGTTCAAAGAAGACAGCCACCGAACCATGAAGAAATGGTTCACGTGAGAATCAACCATTTAAGAGGCATCACCCAAGGACAGCAGGCTTTCACACCGCGCTAATACTTGGAAACTTAGCATCACTTCTCCTCTCAGGTCTCTTTCCTTCTCCATCTGATTCTTACCCCTTTCCCCCTCTGCTTCTACCACACCCTGCCTTTCTCCCCCTAGCCTACCCTCCACTTATCCACCTTACTGGCATAACACTGAGTGGATTTTTAAGGACTAACCAGGGCCTCTAACATCAGAGTAAATGTCCAAAAGTCTCAGGGCCTCGGACACTAGAGCCTGCCACACAGGTCTGAAATAAATGATCCCCTTTCACAGCTAGATGATACAGCAGGTAAAAGTCAGGAAGCCCTGAGCTCAAATTTGGCCTTATATACTTGCCAGTGGTGTCACCCTGAGCACGTCACTTAACTCTCTCAGCCTTAGTTTCCTCTTGTGTAAAATGGGGATAATAACCTACCTCACCAGGTTGTTGTAGAGATAGAGTAAGATAATGTGTTTGTATGTCTCACACACACAGAGTAATGTAATTATGTAATGTTATTAATGTTTACCACATGTAATTAAGATTACCCCCATGTGTGATTTCACCTGGTTCCTGGGGTGACAGATTGCCTAATTTTGTAATGTTTGCACAGCAAAAAACCACAACACTGCCCTCCCATCATCACAGACCCTTGACAGTAAAGGGCTCAACAAATGAATGCACTGTCTACTCCACTCTGTTCAGCAACTCAGAGTCACTATTTCCTGGGGTGAAAATTTTCTCCTCCTGCTTCTTACCCTGTATACTTGTCCCATTCTATACAAAATCCTTCATCTGCCCTCTGGAACCCCTGCTAATTTGTCAAACTTCACTTCATCTTAAGTTTTTTTCCACTTTATTTTCCTTATTTTTATGTTAATGGAAATCCAGCATTTTAAAATCATCATCATCTAAGGGCCTCATTTCTAAAATATACAGAAAATTAAGTCAAATTTATAAGAATACAAGTCATTCCCCAAATGACAAATGGTCAAAGCATATGAACAGGCAGTTCTCAGATGAAGAAATTAAAGCCATCTACAGTCACATGAAAAAATGCTCCAAATCACTATTGATTAGAGAAATGCAAAACAACTCTGAGGTATCACATCACATCTATCAGACTGGCCAACATGACAAAACAGGAAAATGATAAATGCTGGAGAAGATGTGGGAAAAATGGAACATTAATGCATTGTTGGTGGAGTTGTGAAATGATTCAACCACTTGGAGAGCAATTTGGAACTATGCCCAAAAGGCTATAAAAATATGCATTCCCTTTGACCCAGCAATAGCATTTCTAGGGCTGTATCCCAAAGAGATCATACAAATGGGAAAAGGACCCCCATGTACAAAAATATTTATAGCAGCTCTTTCTGTGGTGGCAAAGAACTAGAAATTGAGAGGATGCCCATCAACTGTGGAATGACTGAACAAGTTGTGGTATATAAATGTAATGGAATACTATTGTGCTATAAGAAATGATGAACATGCTGACTTCAGAAAAACCTGGAAAGACTTGTATGGTTTGATGCTGAGAGAAGAGAGCAGAACCAGGAGAACGTTGTACACATTAACAGCCACACTGTGTGATGACTAATATTGATAGACTTAACTCTTCTCAGCAATACAAGGATCTAAGACATCTCCAAAGGTCTCATGACGGAAAATGCTATCCACATCCAAAGAAAGAACTATGGAATTTGAATGCAGATCCAAGCATACTATTCGCTATTTTGTTTTTCTTCTGTTGAGTTTTGTTTCCTCTTTCTGGTGGTTCCTCCTATTGGTTCTAATTCTTCCTTACAACATCACTAATATGAAAATATGTTTAATAGGAATGTATATGTGTAGCCTATATCAGACTGCACGCTGTCTTGGGGAGGGAGGTAGAGAAAAATTTTAAATTTAAAAGCTTATGGAAGTAATTATTGATAAACCAAAATAAATTAATAAAAAAAGAAAAAAACAAAATCAAATCAAATCAAGTCATCATCATCATCATAACTGTTATTTATCAGCATCATTATAGTTAACATTTATATAACACCCACTATGTGCCAGGTAGTATATTAAGTGCTTCACATTTATTATCTCATTTCATCCTCATAAAAAACCTGGGAGGAAAGTGTTGTTATAATTCCCTTTTCACACATCAGAAAACTGAGGCAACAAAAGGTCAACCCAGCTAGTAAGTGTTTGCGGTTGGATTTAAATTCAGGTCTTCCTGAATCCAGGTCTAGCACTCTATCCTCAGTGCCACCTAGCTGCTAACCTAATTTTGAAGAAAACTGTCCCCATGGTCACCTTCTCCAATACTCCTGGATCTAATTTCCTAAGACACAGTGGGCCAGAAGGAGAAAGAGATAGCCTACTCCTAGTTTTCTATGGCCTCTTCTATATTATGTTACCACCACACAGAAATCTTTCCCCCTAGGAGTTGTATTCCATGGATCTCTACCATACTTGTTTCTGTGATCTCTCTCTCCTTTCCAAGCACAAGTCCCTCTATCTTTCTCTGCTCTCCCAGTCCATAACCTGACCTGGCCTCATATTCCTGCTTAAACCTCAGCCAAATTCAGCCCTATAAAGATTCCCTGACAATCCCTAACCCTAGACCACATGTGATTCACCATCAACATTCTGGGATGTTCACCCTCCTAAAAACCTCCTTTTCTTTAGTTTCAACTGGGCTATATGGAAATCCTTTCCTGATTGACTAGAGAGCATACTCACTTTATCAGCTGTTTCAAACCTCTCCTCTATATCCAGTCCCAATTAACTCCCCTGCTATCCCTACCCCAACAGGTGTCCTAGCCTCATACTACAAAAACACCAAGGCCATCTCCTGCCTCTATTCAACTTCTATCCATCTACTACTATTGTCTACACCTACATCTTCATTTACCCTTTCCTCCTTTACTATTTTTTAACAGGCAACAGAAAAGACACCAGTAACCAGCAACCCATATGCCTACTTTCTAATATCTACATATACATAGCAGAGTATCCTTGAGAACAACACGAGAAGGAAAAAAGGCAAGTGTTCTCAGATAACTTTCTATAGCAGATCTCATCTTTATGATATCCACAAATCAAGAGTTACTAGATACAAAGAGAAAACATATCTGCTGAAAAAAATTAATACTTAAACCTACACATCTACAGAAAACTTCATGTATTACTATGTAATCATCAAATGGACTATGTTTTCATCTACGCATGAAGCTTCCTCTTCAAAGTAATAATTTTTAAAAGGGTCAGCACTGAGCTCCTTCCGCAGTCCCCCAAACAGGAGATATAATCTCAGAAGTTGTCTTCATGTTGTTTCCCCCACTAGACTGTAAGCTCTCTGAGAACAAGGACTGTCTTCTCCCTTTCTTTGAATCTCCAGTTCTTAGCACAATGCCTGACACACAGTAGGTGCTTAATGTTTGTTGACTGAGAATGGACAAGATAAATTTTTAAGGTTTTCTCCTATAACCACACTTCTATAGCTGATCAGTTAATTAATTACATTTGATACCACTCCCCAAACAGAACTCAAGAAAAAAATCACACCTTCAAATTATGATTAAATTTGGCAAAGTAAACTAGTCTAAATCATTTTGTATCATACAAACAGCATGTGAATCCCACTTCTACCACTTACTAATTGTGTGACCATGGGCAAGTCCCAATCTCCCTCAGCCTCTGTTTCCTCAATTGTAAAATCAGGTTGAACTAGATGACTCTTAAGATCCATTCCAGCTCTTAATCTACATATGATGGTATCTTTCATGCCAAATGCTCAAATACTCTCCACTGCCTCAAGTATAAAAAGCCAACAAGCTCAGCCTGACATCTGAAGCCCTCCACAATCTGGCTCCAGCTCATCTGTCCACACTTAGTCCATCTGCTCCCTATCATACTCATTACAGTCAAACTGGTCGACTAGCTGTTTCCAAAATTAACCCTCCTCCCACCCCAAACTTCTGTCTATGGATGAGTGGGCCTGCTGTGAGCTTGCTCCTTACATTTCTCCCGAAGGCTCTCTTGCTTCCTTCAGAGTTCAGTTCAGGGGCAGCCTTGCTTGGAGGCCTTTCATGATTCCCTAATTGTTAGACTTTGTATGTTCCTACGGTGCCTTGCCTGGGTACCTGCTGCATTTTCCCAATAAAGCACAAGCTCCCTCAGAACGGGGACAGATTTGTTTTGGAATCTCTACCACTGGTTACAGGACCTCATAGGCACTTGGTTGTTGAATCAGGTCTGCAAATAAAACCAGTGCCCCCTTAATAAAACACCATCTATTAAGCTGCTGTAGCAGTGAGAGAGACATAAATACCTTAACTTGTTTCTCTTTCTTTTTGCGAACATCTTCCCACTCGTTAACAATTCTTCCCCAAAGAATCCAAGAATCTTCCTCAAGGTGGCTGAGATTGCTAGAAGCAGATGAACTTGATACAAGAGAGGAGCCGCTGTTTCTTCTTGACCCATTTACAGATCTTAAGGACTTACTGTCCGTCTCTAACAGTCTAAAACATAATAAAAAATTACTTTAAAATCTAATCATATATCAACAAGAATGAACACTAAGGATACTTGCCTTATCAAAGTTACTCAGTACCTAGTTATATACTATATCAAAAGCTGATTTTATAAAAAAAATTAACAGCACTGTGATTTTCATTATATGCTTATTAGCAGGGAGAAATAGCTTCAACACCTTGAAATCAACACAACAGGTAAAAATATTTCATTACTATCAATAATACCTCTTTCAAATGCTGTCATTTGGGGCAGCTAGGTGGCGCAGTGGATAGAGCACCGGCCCTGAAGTCAGGAGGACCTGAGTTCAAATCTGGCCTCAGACCAAACACTTGACACTTACTAGCAGTGTGACCCTGGGCAAGTCACTTAACCCCAACTGCCTAAAAACAAGAACAAAACAAAAGCAAAACAAAACAAATAAAATGCTGTCATTAAAAATCCAAACTAAAGAGAAGCTTTGCTGGGAAGGTTGACTGAGCACAAGACCCTTCCCCCTCTCCCTCCCAAGCTGTTAGAAGATGATCTTCTATTTACTTCTCCACCTACAGGTTGCGTCTTCCAGCGGAATGTAAACAGTGTTAGTTCCACTTCTGTCTTTGCATCCCTGAGGCCTAAGGCAGCTCTGAACATAGCAGATGCTTAATAAATGTTCATAAATTGAATTGAAAAAATGGTCAGTATCAGGCTCAGAATTTGGCAAAAGCATATAATGTCATATATGCCTAACAGGGTCTAGAAATTTAGGATAAACATAAACATCAATTAAGCACAACCTTCTCTCCGCAAAGTTTACAAGCTCTGTTTTTAGCTTTTGGCAGCAGGCACAGACACATACCGGTGAATTTTATACAGAAGAAAAAATCTTGGTTGCTGTGTATTTTGGATCTTTGCTGTTTCTCAAAGCATTTCGTTTCCACCACCATCCGTTTAGAACATGATGACATTTGTTCTTAATCTTTAACTCAATATGTCTACTACATACTTAGTTAGCATAGTTTATTTGTAAGCCTTCTGAAGGCAGAAACCATGGCACACACAGTAATGACTCACTTTATACAGACTCAGACTTACAATAAACTCAACCACCCAAATCACAGCTTCAAACATTATTACCAAAAAGGCTTTGTAAGCATCCAGAAAAAAGGTGTAACCAAATCCCAAAACCTGAAATCAAACTACTAAAATTTATTAATCACCTATTTATGGCCACTCTCCATAGTCCCGTGACTCATGCACTGCTTTCCCACAGCTTCTTGTTATCAGTGCAGTAGACAGAGGAATGCCTTAGTCAAAAGTCCTGAATTTAAATTCTGTATCTGACACATATTAGCTGTGTGACCATGGGCAAGTAGCAACCTTTCAGTATCCTAAGCCAGTGGTCTCCAAATTTAGTTAATCATGCACGCTTATCAGTAAAAAAATTTTGGGGGACATAACTCCAATGTGTATATTTGTTTACATATAAATTAAATATATATACTAATATGCTAATAATTAGGTATATTATAAAATTCAAAAAAAAGTAGACCTTTTTAAGGGATGTGCTAAAGCTAAACTAATATTTGAGCTTAGAGTCAACAGACACTGCTTGAGTTTAGAATGGTATAGTCAGACGATGGACTATTTATTGCTTTGGTAGAGACTTGAGACAGGAAGACCAATTAGAAGGCTACTGTCATGGTCTTCATGAGAGAAGTGAAGAGGGAAGAGAGGTATCTGAGCAAAAAGGCTCCCCCATATCTGCGCCAGCAAGCCCAGATGGCAATCAAGAAAGCAAATGAGAAACTCAAGTAACTGCTACGTGCAGAACTGTCCGAGGATTCAGACAGATGCTGCCAAGTCCTAGGAAGCTGGGCCCTTCAAGTGACCCAACACAGGGCACAGTGGTATTCAGAGTGAACAGTTTCTCTGAAAAAGCCTCAAGGGGGGAATTTAGAAGCCAGGGCCAACAGCAGCAGCAGCAGGAAACAACAGAGAACCAGAGCACTCACACTTAGGGTATGTTAGGCCCAATCACTTTGAGGCCGCTAAGCCCGAGATTCCAGAGGAGGCCTTGAAGATAGGGCCACTCTGAATCTCACAGATTCAGAGGGAAAAGTCAGCACAAGAACCTCACCCAAAAGTGTATCAAGGGGGCAGGGCCTGGCCCCAACACAAAGTTTTCGTTCAGGTACTAAAGCTGCAGAAAGGAAAAAAAATAAAAGAAAGCACCATCCAGCATGAAAATTTACTGCAAATTGACTCATAACAGCTGAGTAAACGCTCAAAGGAAAAAAAATGGATTTTAATTCTATATGAATTCCAAGGAGAAATGAAGAAGAAAATATTTTAGATGAATAAAACTCTTAAGAAAAGAATTAGGAAAATAAGTAGCTAAAAAGAGAAAGAGGTAAATTTTACCCATGAAATAGAATATCTATAAATTACAAACAACCAGACAGCAACAAATGATCTCAGCAGAAAGCAAGAAGTAACAAAATGAAATAAAAAGAACAGAAAAAAATAGAAGAAAATATAAGATATCTGATGTCAAAAACAACCAACTTGGAAAACAGATCAAGAAGAAAATTTTAAATTAATCATTAGATTCCCTAAAACCTTGCTTTAAAAGAAAGCTAGACATTATATTTCAAGAACTAAAAAATGAAAACTGCCCAGAAGTGTTAGAACCAGAGGGCAACATGAAGATAGAAATAATCCACCAATCACCTCCTAAGAGGAAGTCCAAAAGGAAGAGGCAGATGAATGTTATACCCAAATCCAGAGGTTCCACATCAAAGAATAAATATTGCACAAGCATCCAGAAAGTCCTTGATGTACAGTCAGAAACTACACTTAGGATCAAACAGGACTTGGAAGCATCCACTACAAACCATAAAAGATCTTGGAATACAATATTCTCAAAGACAACAAAATTTAGGCTTACAAGGAAGAATAACTTCCCCTAGAAAGCTGAGCATATTAATGCTAAAAGGGAAAAAAAAATGGATCTTTACTGCTACAGAGGACTTTAAAGCATTTCTGATGAAGACCAGAGCTGAGGAGGAACTTTGAAATAAAAACACAGGAGTAAAGAGAATCCTACAAAGGTAAATTTATTTGAGCAACTGGAAGACATTATATGAAAGTATAATGCTAACATTTTAATGAAGGGAGAAAAAACAAATTTTCCATGAGAACCATAATGTTTTCTTCTTTTTTTGGGAGGTGGCAATTGGGGTTAAGTGACTTGCCCAGGGTCCCACGGCTAGTGTCAAGTGTTTGGTCTGATGCCAGATTTGAACTCAGGTCCTCCTGACCTCAGGGCCAGCGCTCTATCCACTGCGCCACTAGCTGCCCCCATAATGTTTTCAAAGCACACTAAAGAAATTAATTTTAAAGAAACAGATCCTGGCAGTAAAGTCTGGAAGACCTCAGTTCAAATCCAGCCTCAGACACTCACTAGCAGTATGACCCTGGCAAATCTCCAAACATTTGTCTGCCTCAATTTCCTCATCTGTAAAATGGGAATAACAACAGCATTTACCTAACAGTATCGTTTTGAGGGTCAAATGAGATATTTATAAAGCACTTTGCAAACCTTAGAGAGTTATATAAATGCTTAAGATTTATTGTTGTTAGTAATACAGAAGACTGAGAAAAGGTGCTTGACTATGGTTATTTATAATACAAGGCTTTCTCCCCCCTTTCTTTCAGTTCTTAATTGATAGACAACAGTTAGAAAGAGGGAAGATTGTTACTAATGGTGATCATTCCTCTCAAAAAAGTGCCATTTTAATAATTTTTTTTAAAATGTGCATACAAAAACAGAAGGAAATTCAGAACGGTACACAGCGAAGGAGGATAGCTTTGAAAGTAATGTGTAGGCGGGCAGCTAGGTGGCACAGTGGATACAGCACTGGATTCAGGAGGACCCAAGTTCAAATCCGGTCTCAGACCTTAACACTTACTAGCTGTGTGACCCTGGACAAGTCACTTAACCCCCATTGCCTAGCCAAAAAGAAAAAAAGAAAAAAAAAAGAAAGTAACGTGTAGAATTTATTATATAATTTTTTTAAAAAAAGCAAATGGTATAAAATGGTGGTTCATGGATTTACATGGAATCTTTCTGTATTTTCTCACTTTTTGGGGGGGGTCCAAGTTTGGTCATTATAATGTAATAGAGGTAGTAAATAAAAGGATGGGATGCTGGTAACTGGAAGAGAGCCAATGGGAACAGAACTACCCTAAAAAAAAAGACTAAGATAAAGTAACTGAAAGAATATTATCCTGTATTTACAACAGAAGATGGAAGAAATCATAACTTGTAAAAAAAAAAAGAGAGAGGAAAATATAAACCTAACTCTTATAATATTAAATGTGAACAGATGGAACTCAATAAAACAAAAGAGCAACCAGATAAAATAAAACTCTACAATATACTGCTTACAAGAAATACATTTAAAACACAAAGACATACAAAAAATAAAACTATGGGGATAGAAAAAAAATTTACTATGTATCAAGTGAAACCAAAAAAGTAGGGGTTGCAATCAGGCTATCTGGCAAAGCAAAAACAAACACTCAAAACATAAAAAGGGGCTGTGCTGGAAGGAACCACAGGCAAAAAAAAATACTAATGTTTTTAAAGTATATGTTCCAAATGTCTTAGCATCCAAATTCATTAAGGAATCACCTGAACTACAAGAAGACAAAAAAAATTATACAACAGTGGCAGGAGAACTCAATAACCCTCTCTCAGTTTTGGATAAATCTAACAAAGATAAACAAAAGGTAAAACATGGAACTGAATAAATTGCTGGAGAGACTAGAGTTAAAAGATTTATGGCATCTTCTAAATAGGGCAGCAAAAGAATATACCTATTTTTGAGCACCACATGGAATTTTTACAAAAAAACTTTCCATGTATTAGGGTAAAGAAATACTGCAAACAAACATAAAATGGGAGAAATATTTAATACAACCTTTATAAACCATAACACGA